ACTCGATGATCTGCTGGATAACAGTGGTTAACTTTTGAGCACATTCGAGCCAAAGTTGCTCGTGCGCCATGTTCTTGTAGTAGAGCAATCTGGAGAGGTCGTGGGGCTTCCGGAATGACTCCTGTATCTGTTCCGTCGACACCAGGCACGTTCTCGCGTGCGCGTCCGCTATCGTCTTCGAGAGGAGCTCACTGATCTGTGCTGGATCTGCGAAATTCGTGCATGCCGTTTGATGTAATTAATTTTCTTCTTTCTCTATTTTCATATATATTTTTATTTAATCTCACTACTCGATACATCGAAGCTGCTTCAGGCATACTACCAAGGAATCAATTTTGGTAATAATTTGGTTAATAGGAAGTAGGTGGAGGTTCTTTTTTTTTTCTTCGTTTGTTTCATGATAGGTAATACAAAGCCGAGACATGTTCCTCTTGCGTGCCGAACGGCGCGTGTCACTTTCAATCTATAACGCGACTTACACGTGCAAAAGCTAGAATCGAGTAATATGGATCCGTAGAGAATTATTTCGATGCAACTTGAATCGAAATCTTTTCTAAGATTATTCCAAAATTTCCATTCGTTGTCGTCATGATGCGCGACACGTTTGAACTATTAGTCCGTTCGTCTACTTTCCAACTTGCTGCTGCGTGATCCATATTAAACGCTCTTTATCTAACCGACACGGTCGATGCGGGTGGGTCACGCGAGCACGCGTCGAAATCGCCGTTAGGTATGTGGTTACTGAAAGAGTCCGCGTACGATACGAAATAATACAAGACAAGAGCGAGTGAAATCGCTTGATCTTTTTTTTTCCTTTCTTTCTTTCTTTCTTTCTTTTTGTTTTTTTCTTTTCTTTTTTTTCTTTTTTTGTTTTTTTTTCCCCCCTCATTGAAAGAAACAAAAGTTTTTGCGGCATGACAGAATGCATCATCGTACTTTGCCGCAGCACCGAATCAACTTTGAAGTATTTCATGCAGCATGAGCAAAATACATGTATGACAAAATTGCGAGCCGATCGTGCGAAAGAGACCATCGAAAGCACGAAAAAGATTCGAGAGAAAAGGGAAGAACATAGAAGATAGCGAAGAAAGGAGATGGAACACGTAATCGCAAAGTATCCATCTTACAAGGAATTCGATATTATCTCTCGGTTTATCGGATAAGACGCATGACTCTATCTTCCATTTACTTCGAACAAACAAGATCTTCGGCTTTCTCGAAAGGAGAGCGATCAAACGCAGAAGTTCTATCCTTTTTACATACGCGGACTCTTTGTCGCGAAGAGAAAGAGATAGAGGTAGAATGAAAAAGAAAGAGAGACAGAAAAAGAAAGAAAGAAAGAAAGAAAGAAAGAAAGAAAGAAAGAAAGAAAGAAAGAGAGAGAGAGAGAGAGAGAGATAGAAAGTGAGATAAGAGAGAAAGACAGCGCGAACATGCCCATGCAAAGGGACACAAACGTAACCTCACATCTCGCATGGGACATACTGGGCAGACTCGGCACTTCGTCGTCCTCGGATGGATTGCTGACCCTTTGTTGCTGACCACTCAGAAAGGTCGTCGAGTCGACCATCGTGTACGAGCCGTGTCCCAAGCTGGCGAGTTCGACGGTAGTTTCTTGCTTGACAGCAACGATTCCACCCCCGCTCAGCGAACCACCACTACCGCCACCACCGCCGCTGCCACCACCACCACCACCACCGCCACCACCACCGCCACCACCACCGCCACCACCACCACCACCACCACCACTACCACCACCGTTACCACCACCTCCAGCGCTACCAACCGTTCCACCGGCAGCAGCAGTGCCGCCGGCACCTCCTCCGTTACTACCACTACCAGCACCACCACCACCACCAGCACCACCACCACTACCGGCACTACCAGCGTTGCTACCACCGTTACCACCTCCACCCCCACCCCCACCGCCGCTGCTGCCTCCTCCTCCTCCTCCTCCGCCTCCTCCTCCTCCTCCTCCGCCGCTGCCGCCGCCGCTACTGCCGCTGCCTCCACCAGCACTGCCGCCACCGCCTGTGCTGCTTCCGGTTGTCGAGGCAGACAGCGACTTTCCTGGTGCGCCGAAAAGTCAAAGTTCACGGCTTCAGGCCTCCAGCCTTTACGAGCACGAGGCAAGGGTGACCAGGAAACGCGCTCGATATCACCCTATCTTTTCTCTTTTCCTTTTCATTATCGTCATCGTCGTAGCGCTTTCTCGTCTCTCGTATTCCCGAGATCACCCTTGCGAGAACGAATCCTTAACCAAAGGATTCGTGGGATCGAAACGCGATTATAAGCAGGCACGCGGTACCGGAAGGAGTTCGCTCGTTATATTTATTGTTAGTCACATAGTTTATGAACTTAGTCGCGTCTTCCTGCCGGCACTGCGGAACGGTGACGCGTCGTTCGACGACGAGTGTGCGTGTTAGTTTCGATCAATTAGCGTTAATGGCGGCGAAATAAAGAGTGGGCAGTTGGAAGGAACGGTAGAAGAGGACCAGGAAAGAGAAAAAGAAAGAGAGAAAGATAAAGATAAAGACAGAGATAGAAAGTGATGTGTATATATATATATATATATATACATATATATATATATATATCTATATATACATATATATACACACACACACATATATATATAAAGAGAGAGAGAGAGAGAGAGAGAGAGAGAGAGAGAGAGAGAGAGAGAGAGAGAGAGAGAGAAAGCAACGAGAAGTAAATATAGAAGGCTTACCGGTGGTGACCACACTGGGAAGTACTCCGGTTGCCGTAACCGCGGAGGGTGTGTCTGGTGCGACGGTGTCCGCCACTTGCGTCTGCGTCGGCCTAGGGTCGTAGGCCGTCGTACTGTCGACGTAATCGGCGCTCAGCTCGTAATTCGTCATCGCTTGATGATTGTAATAACCGGAACCACCCGTACCGGGTCCGGGCGAAGCGTACTCGCTTCCACCGTACGGGTACCTATCCATTGCGAAAAGATTAAGTCGATGAGAAGAGCCGAGATCGAGCCGTTTCCTTTTATTCCTTCGTTCGAGATAGACAGCGGAGAGCTCGGTTACGCTTCTATCTTTAGACGAGAAAATAGGTACTGACCCGCCGTTGTAAGGGTGGTGCTGATCCGAACTGCTGGGCGTTTGATGCTCGAACACACTGCTATCGGGAGCCGTTTCAGAGGCCGCTCTCATTTGTGCCCTATGAAACCTGACCTCATCCTCGACCTTCTCCCGCTGCTTCTTTGACATACGCCCGAATTTAACGGCTGAAAGGAAGAATGTTACTGCCGGTTAGAAAAGGAGCGCTACGTATCTCCGCGTATTTTCGAGATTCAAAGGCCGAAGGAAGTATTGAATGGGAGAACGAAGAAATGTGTAGAGAAGAAATCCTAAAGAGGTGAATTTTAATGATTCGAATGTCTAACGAACGAACATATATTTTGAGAAAATAGAGAAACGAGAAGCGAGATCCCTATATAGGAGGTTGGTTTATTTCGTTATTATTGGCCAAATCACGATAACAACGAATGAAATTCCGATCGAAATTCCCTAGAGGAGGAATTGCTTCTCCCCGGAGAGTTTTCAAGGTCTTTGACCTTGTCGTCTCGCTCGACTCCATGGAGTAAGCCACGCGCTTACTCCACTTAGGAAATCTGGGAAACTCGAGCGTAAAATAGGTACGGACGTCGTATCGAGAGGTCGATCGAGATTGCAGCACGTGACTTTTGCTCCCACTCTTTCCCGCGAAAGGGGAGGAGAGCAGGAGAACGCGGAAGCTCTCGTCTCTTCGTACCCACCCGCTCGTTAATGACGACGTCGTGCATACAGAGGGAGATACGTACGTCATAGGAAGATTCGATAGACTTTGCGCGAAAACGTTTATGGTCGTGGATTACGTCTTAAAAATATATTCGAACTTTGCGAGGTCGTTCCACTCGAATCTGTGCTTGGACTTCCTGTCCGTCTATTGTCCGGTTGTTGCACGATTGTTTTATCGAAGGAAAAGAAATAACGTAGAGAGCAACTTAACTTAACGTCGATCGCGTCGAGACGAATCCTATTTTTATCCTCGCCGAATCCGTTCCTAGACCGAACCGAAATGAAAGTTTGCAATGTTTTTCGGTCGACGCTATCTTACTACGCGATATTACTGTCAACGAACGACTAGAAGGATAGAGAATCTATACTATCGTCGATATGGTTCAGCGCGTACCGATTTACGAGCGTGCCAAGAGCGATTTACGATCGGAAGGGAAAGAAAAACAAGAAAAATACAAGTGGAAAGAAAAGAAAAGAAAAGAAAAGAAAAGAAAAAAAAAAGATCGTCTAGTTTGTGAGTCTGGCCACGGTCGAGTGCAAAGGAGAGGTCCGTTCGAATCGTGAGCGCGGACGGTCACGCGTTTTGCATGCACGCATGTACGCACGCATGTACGCACGCATTGGGAGTGAGGGTGTACTCAGGGTGGGGATAGAAGAGGGGAAAACGTTACACGCGACGTCAGTCGCCCAGCTGAACCGCTATCGGGATCGTGTACACGCGCGTTGGATGGACGAGGAAGGCGAGAGAAGAGCGACGAGGACGGAGCGACGAAGGGTGATCGACCGAACGCGAAGACCAACAGAGAGAGAGAGAGAGAGAGAGAGAGAGAGAGAAGAGAGTAGCGAGGGTGGGAGCAAGACAGAGATGACAACAGGAAGAGTATGCGCCGCCAGCACACGATGCACTTTCTGCTTTGCTCTCACACGTGTGCGTATACATATGTACGTACGTATACGGCGATGTACACGAGAAGACGATGGACTCGGGTCTCTTATCGTGGAACGCAAATAAGCCTCGTAAGAAGAAGGAGGAGAAGGAGGAGGAGGGGGGAGGAGGAGGAGGAGCAGTTTATGCGATTACTACTACCGTATCGAATCCACGAGCGAGTTTATCCGTACGATATGTGCAAGATCGACGTGACGAACGAGACGTAAGTTAATTACGATCCGATCGTTCGTAAATATGTTCCTACGTTTAACGGACGATAGGCTAACGTTATTACCATTGTACTTGCGTATACACGTATATTCATTGGGATAAAAATGCTCCATCGAAAGAGGAAATACGATATACACGTTGCGTGGATTCGAAATAGAATTTTATTGCATCCACTCGCGAGGAAAAGGAAATGGTGGTATTAGGGTGGGCGTAGTTATTACATTGTAGACTCGCTTAGACGATCGTATATCTATTTTTTATAGCGACGTTTCGATATATATTGTTCTTGTCTTTCGTCTCGTTGGCACTACACCCAAGTTTTTTCGATCGCGATATTAACTCGGCCGACAGGGAATAATGAACTTCTGTTCGACTATTTTGTATGTTTTTTCTTTTAAAAAATACAAACTCACATACGTCCTATCAATAATATACCTACGTTGCTCTATACGTTGATGTATTTTTAGAGAAAGCAACGGAGTCGCGATTCAAAAGACCAAATATGCGTGTAGTCACGATCAAGGAGACCGACGATGCATCTTCGCGCGTTGAACGATCTTAAGACGATCAAGGACAGGGTGGCCTACTTAAGAGAAACTCCTCCACAGCTAGGTGAACGGCATATCTAATCCAGGAATATCCACAAAGGAAATCCAGCGCGACGTGTCACTTTCATAGTCTGCTAAGCACCGCAATCTTACTTCCTCTTTCGGATATGCGTGTGTGTGTGTGTGTGTGTGTGCGTGCGTGCGCGTGTCTGCGTGCGCGCGCAAGCATACGCACGCATACGAAATATCTTTAGTCGGAGTAGCGTAGTTAACGTGCCTAAGACAGCTCGTAGCACACGCTTCGATAAGGTGCAGCGTGGTAAGAAGGAGGGAAGAGGAAGGTTGTGGTCGGTAAGACGCATTCGTGAAGGGGAAAGAGGGGATGGACGGTCTCTGATAAAGGGTCGTATACCCCGAGAGAGGCACACGCGTGTCCGTTACGATCCCCGTGTATTGGATTCGAGAGCCATGGACGTGCTTCTGTTAATGCGATACCAGTATTAACTCTTAATTACGTTCCGCGTAAATGCGTCGATCTCTCGCGAGCATGTCGCTTTTCAATAAAATCTCGATCCGATATAATACTACCCATTTTATGTATATTTTTGGTAAGAAAAATCAAGAGAAATTAGCGTTACAATTCTTTCTATTACATTCGATAGATTTCGACTAATAAATTCCTATAAGCCTATAAAAGTGTTTCGTGTTTCCTACGAAAATGGAAAATGATCGAAGCTGTCGAGGAGGAGATGGGAAAAGGTTGTACGCGTTTTAAGAAGCAGCCCGAATTGAACTAGTAAGAGACAAATGAAAATGGCTAAAGTTACAAGTGGTAGTTGAACGACACGAACGAGAAAGATATGGACTAGAAATTGCAAGGGAAAATCCTTTAAAACTGATGCGAAATTGCTTCTTTCCTTGGGGAGGGCTCTCTTCCTCCCCCTCCCTCCATGCGGTGGGCACTTATCGTGATTTATTGCAATGCTTTTAAACGTTTTATCAAGGTCAACGAGAAGTTATTACGACGAAGTTGCAATCGAAGGAGGGTCGACGAGAGTTTTCTAGCGTTTTTCCATGAGTACAGACAGCTACTACTCACCATCTCTGGACATGCCGAGGCGTAGGCACTTTTGCAAACGGCAATACTGGCACCGGTTTCTGTTTACACGGTCGACCACGCAGTTTTTGTTCCGCGGACATTGGTAGTTGACGACGGACGATTGGGACCGCCTGAAGAAACCTTTGCAACCCTCGCAGGTGATTACACCGTAATGAACGCCGCTGCTCTTGTCGCCGCACACCTTGCACGGGATTATCTCGATCTGGGCTGAAATTAAAAAAAAAAAAAAAAAAAAAAAAGAAAAAAAAAAAGAAAAAAAAGAAAAAGAAAAAGAGAGATCTTTTTAATTCACACGTACGATTACAGTAAGTAAAAAAGTATCGAAGGATAAAGATGAAATCGTGATATATATGTTTGTGCGATATCGACGTTATCGACGATCAAAAAGATCTCGATCTATCGATCGTCATCGCAATACCTCGTATCGAATTAACGTGCAGTTTACGATCGTCCGCGGTATTATTCGCAGGGCTCGTAGGTTGAGTCGGGCCAATTCTCTGTCTGGTATCTTCCCGTGGCTGCGGGCTTGTACTGTCCGCGCCCCAAGTCGATCCACCGAATACCGAAAGACTTCCCTCCATTGACAAAAATGATCGTCCTCTCCTCTATCATTTACGACTCGTCATCTGGCAATGAGCTCTGCCTCGTCATTGTTCTTCCTCGACAACGTCTTGCGTCCTCGCGCCTCCGTGATCATCGGAGGATTATGCGCGCGCGTGATCTCTTTTTTTCTTCTCGTCGATGTTTCTCTTTCCTCGACGTTTGCGTTAAGCGAGTTCGACTTTGAACTCGTTGCACGATACCACGGGAATATACGTCTAGACGTTGGCCCTTTCGAGGACCTCGGAATTTGAACTCGACGTTGACATTCAATCGATCCTACGTTTTACACCATCACGGACCACTCTTGCCACTATATCTAACGATAGATAGAACAAGAGAGAGACAGAGAGGGGGGGAGAGAGAGAGAGAGAGAGAGAGCGTGAGCGTCAATCAGCCAGCTGGAGAGACGAAAAGACGAAGAAGAATGAAAAGTCGATGGGAGGGAAAAAAATAATGCGTTGGCTGCAGAAATGTTCCTCGCCGATCTCTATTTTCGTTCGGAGCTTCGTCGTGATGCTGCTTGGCTCAATATCGTTATATGAGTGCATTAAGCCGATGCAAGAAGAGAGGGGGAGGGGGGAAGCGACGTCACGCACACGCACACGCACCGTACGGACGTGCGCACAAGCGTACATTCACGCGTTTAATACATTAGGTATATACGTGGAAAGAGATGCACGGAAGCGACGAAGAGATTCGGTGTGCCCTATGTCTCTCCTATATCGCGTTGCCTGCCCCTCTCTCTCTCTCTCTCTCTCTCTCTCTCTCTCTCTCTCTCTCTCTCTCTCCCTCTATCTGTTTTTCTCTCTCGTTCCTTCTCGCGCGAGTCCGACAACTCTAGCGCCACGAGTAGCGTCGAGGCGCTTGCACCATACGGTCGAACATTACATAACCGAGAACGATGAACCCAGAGTACAGTCACCCGGCACGCTCGCATCTTCGACGTGCGTCATGCCTTGCCCCGGCTAGAGAGTGCAACGCGCCGGCTACTATACACCCGGAACTCCCGAAATCAAAACGAGAGATTTATCTCTTAGCTTTTCCTTCTCGTTTCTTCTTCTCGTCTCTATCGTCTAAGTATGACTACGGTCGGCTACGAGCCATTGCCAACGTTGGAATCGTTCCTTACGTTTCACCGTGTACTCGCAGAGCAGATGGACCAGGAGATAGGAGAGACGATCGTTAAACGAGCGTGGACTATCGCGAGAGCACGTGCTTGGATAGTAGTAGTCACTTATATTTTTTAGAAAGACAGAGAGAGGTGGGGAGGGTGGGTGGGGGGGGAGAGCGCAAAAAGACTTTGAGAACAACGAGGACGCTATCTTCGTTCAAGCTCGAAAAAAGATAGAAACAGAGCGATACTTCGTAACGGCGTAGGACGATCTAAGAAGGTACTTTGGAGTAACGACGACACTGGACGACGACAACCAAGAGATATATCCGCTCGTAGGAGAAGCTGGAGATCTTGGAGAGATCGCGCACGGTGAAATACCGGTTTATATTGTCATAGTCGAGGACGATGGTAGGAGGTTATGTTCGTTCTTCGCCATGTTCTTCGAAGAAAATGTCCAATTTCATATATATATATATATATATGTGTATGTATACATATATATATAGAAATATAAGTGTATATATATAGAAATATGTGTGTATATAGATGTAACTATTCAGGCACTTATCAGTTTTATGAAAAAGAGAAGAGAAATAGATAAGATTTACGCAATTTTGGAAGAAGTAGAAACTTGAAAGAAAAAGTTTGGCCGGATTATAAACGCGATCTCGGGCGTTCGAGTCAACGAGAAAGACTCGAAACACACACAGTCGACTTGTTTCCGATAGCTCGACCGCCACGAGCGGTCGCGCGTGTCGCGCAAGCGCCGATACAGCGCGCGGTCAAGAAAATACACGCGCGCGCGCGCGACCACTAATATCACTAACGAATAGTAACGCACGAGTTTTTCAATCTGGAGCCTTTCCAAAGTCAAACTCGTTCGTTTTCTTTCGTTTCGTTTGTCGGCACTCCTCGCACGTAAACACCAACATGCGCGCACTCGACGCTCTCTTCCGGCTAACTCGCGAGTTTGTCCCTTCGATGTCCTCTTTCGATTGATACGATGAGAAGAAGAAGGAAGAATAAGAAGAAAGAGACAAGGAGGTGTGTGCGACTTGATCGCGTATGGAGAAAGGGCAATGCGAGAGACGGAAGAAAGATAAATAGAAAGGCACGAACGTTGGCGACTACGACGACGACGACGACGACGACGACGACGACGACGACGACGATACACTCGCGACACGATTCCTTTCTCCGTGAAAAATTTCGAGAGGTTGGCGCATGCACTCGCGCGATGTACGATATATTATGTACGTAGTATGTATATTAGTATATTAGACACTATCAAGGAGACGTTCTTTCTTCGTGTATTCTACGGCCGGAAAAACTCGCGGAAAGTCCACGACTGCCGCGTGAATATATTTCGGGGTTCGACGAGCTTCGAGCGAGAGTATGCGTGTCTCTTGTACGTACGCGTGCAGAGAGGACAGAGAGCGAGAGAGAGAAAGAGCGAGAGAGAGAGAAACAGAGAGAGATGGAGGTGTTTTTCGGGGACCGGCGTAGAGCGGGCTGGCATCTCACAATATGTCAGAACTCCCCGCTGCCCCTCAGGCCGCTGCCCCACCGACGCCAAGGCAGGTCACTGAACTGTGCGCGCCTCCGCCGATGATGGCCGAGTGCTGCCTCACCCTTCGCTCCCCCTCCACCCTCCGTCCCTCATCCCTCCGACCCTCCCGCAACAGTCGTTCTCGACGCACCGTCACTCTTACACCCCCCCCCTTCCCTCCCTCACCAATCCCTCCTCCTACCCTCTGCCAGCACTCGCACAGCGCGCACTCGGTAATCGAGCACCCCACTTCTCTTCTTTGGTTACAAACCGAACTTCTCCCGAACACCGTCGAACTTTACCGAGAGCATACCGACTCTTAACGAAGAAGCACGAAGAATCGTGCCACCGAATACGAACTCGCGAGGCGCGCGCTTTCTGATCGTCTCGCGGCCTACTACCACTCGCTGCTTCTGCTCCTGCTTCTGCCGTTGCTCCTACGACACGCGTTAACTTTATTAACGCGGCTGGTTAAGGGCAACGCCAGGGGCCGAATGCACGAGAGCGTATCGTGTTTCCTTCGTGAACGAACGTACCATTTATAAGGGGACACTACGAGTTCACGGATGTGTCTCGGCTTTTAGCTGCATTTCCATTTCTTTTTCCCTCTTTTCTTTCTAAATCCACTTGGATACTCGCGCTCTAGAGAGATAGAGAAGAGAATGACGGGGAGAGAGAGAGAGAGAGATTATCCTCGCTAGAGTTTTTTTTCGCATCGAGGGAGAATCAAGGAATAGAATATTTGAATTTTGGAATCAAGATACATCGCTTGGGTCTACTCTTGGGATAGAAAGAATATGATTCGTAAAAAATTGCAGTGATCACGGAGCGTGTAAGATCAGACTGTATCTCGATACGTCGAAAACGATAGACGAGAGAAATCTTATAAACGTACGTAAAGGGTACTTTTAACGATTCGATGCTCGCGATTGTTTGTAAGCGCTCTAAAGAAAAGCATAGCTCTCTCTTTTCTTTTTATCTCGTGTCATCCTTCATCCGATAATATCGATTATCAGTGTAGTTATCTGTGCGACCTGATTCTCGAAGACACGATTAAACGACGATTAAGATTAAAAACGAAGACTTTCCTTTTCTTTCTCTTAGAAAAAGAAAAGTCGCATCTGAGAGAGAAAAGGAAATAAAAGAGAAGAGAACTTTTTTCCTCGAGAGTTTTATGTCTTTTTTTTCTTCATCTTCTCCGTTCTCTCGCCCACGAAAATACTCGTGGTATTACGCATGCGACGATAACACGCGCATAGGAGAGCGCAAAATGATCGTTTATATTTTACGAGTACAAATTCGAGCGCATCGTACGCTTTTCCCGCTGACGTCATTATCTCGTATCGTCTTGGTGCATCGAGATTTCCCCTCTCCCTTCCTTCTCCCTTCCACTCTACTACTATTCTCTCAAGCTCTCGTCGATCGCACGCACGTTCTTCGGAATGGTAAACCCCACCCTTTCGGTGCAACTTTGTTGCTCTGTCCTTGCATAGATCGCCAAGTTTTCCTCCCTTCTCCATCTCTCTCTTTCTCTCTCTCTCCATCGTTGCCTCGCGCACATAGCTCTCTCTCTCTCTCTCTCTCTCTCTCTCTCTCTCTCTCTCTCGTATATATTTTCCTCTTATTTCAGCGGGCGGACCGTCCTCGGTAGCAGCCACGGAGACGTTTTCTTTCTCTCGAACACGCGTGTATACTCCCCACCCTTCGTTCCTCGAGAAGCATTCTTCTCCTCTCCTTCCCGATTCGCTCGACCCTCCCTCTCTCTTATCTCTCTCTTTCTCTGTCCCTATCTCTATATCTATCTCTATCTTTCTCTTTCGACGAATCTCTCCTCGTCATTGTTTCTTCATTCGTTTCCTCGCTCGCTCGCTCGCTCGCTCGTTCGTTCGTTCGTTCGTTTGTTCGTTCGTTCGTTCGTTCGTTCGTTCGCTCACTGTCGTTTCTCGAGTTCTCTCTCCCCTCCATTTCCCCCGGCTGCCCTCTTTCCCCTTCGGCCTTCCTCTATGGTACACGGTAACCGTCGTGTCCCTTTCGCTCCTTCTCTCATTTATTGCATAACCGTGCACGAGGTTGCCAACCTGCGCCGCGTAATACTCTATAAATACGTTTCGCAAATAAATAATCGCACGACGATATGTCCCCCTTGCGATTGCAGTTCATCGTCGACAACCCAAACGTATGTACGACGACGTTAAAGACCATCTCTCCTTCTTTCTCTTTTTTCTTTGGAATTCGTCGGAGAGATAGCGGACCGATGGATGGATAGATAGAGTAAATAAAAGAGAGAGAAAGAGAGAGAGAGAGAGAGAGAGAGAGAGAGAGAGAGAGAGAGAGAGATAGGGAGCGAAGGGAAAGAAAGCATCGACGCTAACGAGCTCGTTGCGTGGAAACGACCGTTGAAAGATAAGGTCGCTCCGAGATTGGAATGCGGTCTTACGTAGTAACGCGTAATTCGTTTAGGTAGTTGGAAAAAATTTCGATTTTTAAGTGTCCTTAGGCCGAAGCATAATATATAGGAAATAATATATAGGAAATGTGACAAACATGGATTTCTTTTGATTCCGATAGATTCCATTTCATATTTAACACGAATTAACTATACGATTCTGACACACTATATCTGGTTAGAGAATACATTAAAGTAGGTAAGGATCGATCGAGACGGACGAGAACCATCGCAGTATCATGTTAGAATGGATATTTTAAGAATAATTATGAAAGACACGTCGTTCTTTGCTCGTAGAATCAAAAAATAGGGCTCGGAGATTTTAATTGCTCTCAGATTAATTGCATCTTACATTATTTATGTAATTAACGGTACTCGTTCATAGCACGCTTTCTTTTTTCTCGTATATTTTCCTATTTTCAGGATCGATGCTTCCCGACCTCGCCTCGGTACTCTTGCCGCTTGTCTCAAAGTTTCTTCCTCTTTTCAAAGTTTCTTGTCCGACCGAAATGACGGCGTAATCGCTGAGGTCGTCGGTACGCCGCATCGACGCAGCTAACTTCCCGCAAGAACTTTAACTACCACGAATGCGCGTAATGCCAAAGAACGTCGTGCAAATTTAACTTTGCGGATTTAAATCCCGCGATAACGAAGACATTGGCCTTGGTTCTCGAGAATCAAAATGTATTTCGTCAATTGATTTTCTTTGCGTTACATATTGTTAATAGCGGTAACTGGTCCTAGTTTTTTTACCCGGCAAGTAACGAGTTTAGAAGCTCGAAGGAGATGAAGAAAATCAAAGTGTTTGTTCCCTTGCGACTTCTCTTTCCGGTCTCTTTCTCTTTCCGGCTTCGTCCGACCGTTTACGTAATATCTCACTTTTTCTCTTCCTGCGGCGGCAACGAATGTAGGTCAGAGACCGGTAGAAATTGATCGGTGCGAAGATGGATCATTCTTTGATTTCTTCGATCTTTCGAACGATCAACGAGGGGAAATATCTCGTTCGTGTATTAAAAAGAAAAGAAAAAAGAAAAAGAAAAAAAAGAAAAAAAAAAAAAAAAAAAGAAAAGAAAAGAAAAACAGAAGACTCGTCGTTCGTTGGTAGGTTAAAGAGAGTAGGTATAGTCAGCGAGCTTCGCGAGTATGCGGATTGAAATTACAGAAAGACGACGTCGACGCACCCCTAACGATCGAAGCGCGCCGCGTGTATTTATAGCCAGCAGTTGCGTAATGGGGAAGAAATATGGGGCGAGTGAATAATAGATTCCGACGGAACCCTTTTCGCGGAGAAGGCGAAAGGATCTCTTTTTCTTCTTGTTTTTTTTTCCTTTTTCCTCTCTTTTTTCTTTTTCTTTTTTGTCGCAAGTAAAGATCTCGCATCCTAGTAAAGAGTAAATCGAAAAAGATCGACGAAAAGGACGGAGATAGGATCGTCGTCCTCCTTCCACGCTTTTGCGCGTCCGAGATGCGGACGAGAGAGTTGGGTCTGTCGGATGAAAGAGTGGATGAAAAAGAGGATGAAAGAGGATGAAAGAGGCGTCGCGGAGTTAGGGTTGCTAGGGTGGGGAAGCTTTTATCCCGGTGAACGAAGAGCGAATCGCGAGTGGAGCTTACGTAACACAGGGTCGTAGAGACGTCGCGGGCAAAGATGCAAAACGGCGTTAAAGGCACGTCATCGTAGAGTGCGCAACTGCGAAGGAGTTTTGCTCGAGTGTGGCAAACAAGAATGACCGTTACAGTTTCCTTAAGCGAAACCCTCACAATGTGCTAATACTTGCGACATCTGAGGGTAAGCCTGCCTACACTCCATTTCTTCCTCTCCCACCTTCTTCGTCCTCTTCGTTCTTCTCATCGATAGCTTCGGTCTTAGCCGATCGAACGATCGATGCCAAGATCGTTAGGCATTCGAAAGGATTTTTCAAATTGGGCCGCTTGCGACGCGAATAGCACGAAAAGGTCCCGCCAAGAGGAGGGAGCCACCTTTTTCGAGAAACGCGGGCGAGCGCGCGCGCGCGCGAGAGAGAGAGAGAGAGAGAGAGGTTGAGAGAGTGCTCCGAAGAGATTGAGAGGGTTGGTGGAGAAGCTTCGAGGAGAAGAGTCCCCGACGTGACAAAAAATAGGATTTTCTTTTCGTCAACAGGGCAAAGGAAAAGTCGCAAGAATGAAAAAGCACCCCCTTAGACAGTGGTCTCGCGTGCGAAAAGTCAACGTTTTTCCGGCGGTCAATACGAGGAGGGATCGTGCGAGAAAGAGAGAGAAGTTAGCGGCAAGCTGGTGCCGGAAGGTTAGTAACTTGGTCGGACGGTGAACGACCGAGGGAGTTTGGTGCGCCTGCGCCAGGACGCCGCTGACGCCGCTGACCCAGATGCGCGCAACGTGATTGCCGTTCGGCAGTCCTCGCCGATTCTCGTCGACCCTCGGGGACTCTCGTGGTCGCCTCGCGGTTGACCCACATCGCTCGCCACTCGCGCCACTCGCTTCGTGCGCGTCGCTTCGTACACGAGCGCGCGCGCGCGCGCAATCCTTCTCTCCTCTCCACGCCTTTATCTTTTTCTACTTTTTCTCCTCCTTCTCCTCCTCCCACTTCTTCTTCTTCTTCTTCTTCCTCCTCCTCTTCTTATACCCTGCTGCTGCTGCTGCTGTTGCTGCTGC